ATGTTTAGGTGAGTGAACTTCCTGTTAACTTCTAACATTTAATAAATTCTGTTTTCATGGATGCCTGGATGTTAAACTTAATTGTTACACCCGATAAAGCAGCAACGCTGATCATTTAATTAAAGATGAAAGAATTTGGACCGTTTTTAACTCTGAGTGTTCGTTTGACTTTGGGACCTGAAGCAGACGGAGTTTTGGACCCAGATTACTCTGCGAAGCTCCTCACTACGGCAGCAGTAAGGCTCTGACAATCCATCAAGGAGTGCGGCTTACCAAAGTTGTACTAAAACATCTTTAAACAGATTTCTGCACGCCAAAATCGGTCAGTAAGCACAACCAGAATTCATACATAAATTGTCGACTTTTGAGAAAATTAAAGGATTTTAAGTGTGCCTTATAGTGTAGAAAATACGTTATACAGAAGGAAAGAATATATCGCGATATATATCGTTACCGCACATGCTTCAAATTATATCGCGATATGAATTTTAGGCCATATCGCCCAACCCTACTCCTTACTATAACATTTCTGAATATGTCAGCATGTTAAGCTGTTGTAGCTTTACTCCTATGAGTAAATGCTATGAAATGAAACCAGAAATACAGTACAAGTAATGCATTCCATGGAGATAAAAGCCTGGATACAATTAACAAAGTAAAACAAGGTAAATCAGGACCAACCTGAATAAACAGGATGTACTTGTTACTACCTATGCAAAACAATCAGTGAGTGTTTGTACTCCAGCTTTATGAAAGCTAAAATACTTGGTAAGAAATGATTGTTATTTAAGCCTTCCCTTTAACTCAATTCAGGAAAAAGGGGAAATCTGATCTTTATACAAATCATGCAGCGACCGAGAACTATGAGGCCTTTACATATTATGTTTTATGTTGTGTGACGTAAAGGAGCTTGAAAAAAAGCAAAACAAAGCAGAATTTTAAACTTCCATTGCACACCTGTAATTATGAAAACAAGTTATCTGACACTGAGAGCAGCTTAGTCTGTTTGTTTTGTTGGTTTTTGCCCTTTATCACCGTCCCTCTTCCCCGCTCTTTTTCTTTCCCTCTTTCTTTCTCCCTTTTCTTTTCCCCAGTCAAGTCTGTCCCGTGTTCAGCAAATGAAAATAAAATAAACAATAAAAGCAAAGTTGAATCAAATAGACCAATACGGCAAGGCTGGGATGGTCCATTTGGTAAAGTAAATCTGTTGGGCATCTTTCTTTGCCTTTAGACAACATTTCTGATGGCAAAAGAACCAAACAGGACAGGCAAGAAAAAGAAAAAGAAAAAAAAGAGCACTATGTGCTTCAGTGTGTGGGTGCTGAAAAACCGTTTATCACCTTGTCTGAACAGGTTTCATCGTCAGGCCCTCCTCCGATAACAAAGAGCTTTCCAGCACAGCTGGCCACAGCTGGAGAGCTGACCGCTTCTTTCATGGGAGCCACTTCTGTCCAGCGGTTAGAGAAGGAGTCATAACACTCCACACTGCTCAAGCGGCTCTGTCCATCATAACCACCCACAACATAAACCTGCGGACAGACACACAAATGTATGAGGGTCAGATGAGGGGCCAAAATTAAAAGTAAGAGAAATTTCAAGCATAGAGAAACAAAATTATTCACAGCAAAAAGATGTTTGCGTTCAAGTTCACTACTTTATGAACGTGAACAATAGCCTCTGTGTGAGCTTTAGAAAACCAGTTTATCAGGAGCAGAGTGTTGATGACGTACTTCTGAATAGGCACAATTATCAGTTCCTTACGGCAAAGCCCAGTTCATCTGTTAACCTTTAAACATAAATCTTCATAACTACTAACGTTTGAACTTGACACCATACTTGTTACAGCCTGAATTTCCACACCGTCATTCTGCCTGATGAAGCAAATCTGGCAATCACTATGCATAAACTATATTACAAACTACAGCAAGAGAATTGGGGATACTGTGTTGACATGAGACAGACCCTACAAATGCTACAGCAGGATAAATATTGAGATGATAAGTCACAAATAAGGCCATCAAAGAAAAAACAAGAACAGGGTTTTGTGAAAGACACAGATGTATTTTTCAGTTATGCTAATAACGTCCTCTGTAAAGGGCTCACGTGTCAAGGAAACAGTGAGGAGCATTACTGGTTACAAGTGCGGTGTTATGCAAGAGAAAACCTTCAGGCTGTTCCTGCTTCTCTGCAAAATAGGAAACATAAATAAGTACAGACAAGAAAAAGAGGAAAACAAAAGAAACAGGAACAAAGAAAGATGGAGGAAAAGAAGAGGAACAAAAAGACGGAAACTGATGGGACACATGGTTATTAGCATTAAACGCCTGGCTAATGCTGAATAGCACTACTGTTTTTCCAACTGAAATACTGACAATCCCTATTCTTGTTTATAACTCGTGCGGTTACAGAGTAGTATTGTCTCTGTTTGCATTCGTGTATTTTCAGTGACAGAAACACATAACTGAGCTGCCACATTGTAACTCGCTGAATAAGACCGTGGGCATGCAGGCCAACTGCAATTTGTTTATTTTTAATAATTAATGTTGATACAGCTGATAAACTGTAAATGTGGGTTGTTTTTTCCTAAAAGTGAGAGACGCGAAAGAAGCAAAGAACGATAAAGAAGAAAACAGGCTACTGAGAGATAAAGATAATCAAGTGCAAGGAGTTGTTTAGAAAGGATTTTTTTAAACTACTGGTTTTGGTGAGCTGTTTTTTTCCTCCTTTCTATTTGTATTAACAACAATTTCAATCCAGTCACATGTAAAGCTAGATACACACCTTAAAGTCGCCCACAGTAAAGCAACAACAAATGTAAAGCATCTTGTTCTTTCTTATGTAATTCTGGTGGGCTGGCGCTTTAAAGAGCCATTGAAGATATCCAGACACAAGATTGTTTAAATAAGGTAGTGGAAAGGAGTGGGTGTGGGGCACTGGATCACTGTATTTGCACCCTTGCCACTCTGCACTCTTTTAATAAGACACCAGATTTTGATACACCATGAAAGTCTGTCAATACTAGGACATAATGGCAGCGCAGACAGCCAATACTGACCTAAAGTATGCAGCTGTCATAAAAATATGCTGAGCTAAACAAAATCCTTAAATCTGCAGACACAACTGCAATTCACTGAACATGCATGCTAGTTTTATGACCATATTTAAGTGCTGAGCCACTGGTTAAATAATTAACAGCTTCCTTAACATGTGCTAAGGTAAGATGTAGTTACAGCAAGAGAAACACAGAACAACTGCAGCAGGGGGACAAAAACACGAGCGTATAAATAGAAAGAGCGAAAGAGTGTGAGTGTGTCTGAGAGAGAGACCGACAAAGAGAGATTGAAACATAATAGATGTGAACAGCCGTCACCATGTGCCACCATAACAGGGACAGGAAAACAAGTGGTGACCTATTTTAGATTATATCTATGGAAACTAGACCAGTCCAACAGCACGTATCAGACTGCAGGACACTGAGAAGTGTACACGTGTGTGTGTCTGTGTGATCTTATGCCTCCATCCCCGTGATAATCAGCTATCCTCTAGAGGTTTACACTTCAGCAAACCTTACATTCATTTATCAACTTTAAGTGTAGTAGGATTATACCTGGTCCTGCATTATAGACGCTTGTACTTTGTTATTCTAAACTTGCAACTGGCACATCAGTGCTTTTTCACCAAAAGGGGAAATTACAAGCTGAATGAGGAAATGAGAGGGTATAAACTCAGGGGGAGGGGAACTGAATTCTGAGGAAACCAACAAACAGAAAGATACATTGTCAAGGGGCAAAATGTCTCAGAGATAAAAAGCCAGATAAGAATCTGGAATGAGACCATAACAAAAAAGGCACAAACTGGAAAAACCTTCCAGATCTACATGCCAAAGGATTCTGAGGTAAAATGATAATATAAATATGCACTATACATATACATTCAGGTAATTTGAAAAATGATAAATAAAGGTCTTATCTCTGACAGACGTTTATTGACCTTCAGTTAGGAGGACGGCTACTAAAGCGGTCAAGAAGGATAAAAACTTTTAAAGCTTTAAGAAGCATTTTTCTATAATTACTTGACAGACCATCGACAAGCAGAGGATAAAAGAGAATACATCACAGAGTAATGACGTGTGTCTATGGTTTTAGATACGCTTACATTTTTTTGTCCAGTTTTGAGTTGCAAAACTTGCACTTTGGTATAAAAGTTGAGCTTTTTTCATTTAACAGGTTTTGCATGGGAGTGCCCAGCCAGCTACAGACTCTTACCATTAACCATGGTTTCCTTTAATGTACCAATATCAGTCATGTTTTCACCACACATGTGTGCATGGTTCACTTTGTAGTTAATTACTGACTCTTGAAGCCACACCATGACCACCAACTAATTACCACACTGTTGTGGAACAGCAGCACGTACACCAAATGCACATATGTGGTTTGCTGTGGCAAGGCAACAAAATATTTTGAGTGTTGTGTAAAATTCAGTGTAGATCAAAGAAACGTCCCAAAAATAAGAAAAGGATGTTTGCACTACAGACCTATGAACGATAAGAAGTCCCTGAGTCACATCCCCTGTGAAAGAGTAAATACAGCGCTATTTCAAAGCTTTCTAAGAATACTTGTAGTTGTGTCGATTAACTTGATGTTTGTAATAGTGAGTGAGCATTTGTCACTAAAGTGCATATGAGTGATGTATTGGCCTGAACATGAACTTATGTGCATGCATGAACCAAAACAACTGTCCTTCTTTAGACGACATCAACAACAAATGTCTACAGTTCAGAAATTTTGTCCAACTAGAGGTTCAATTCTTTTTCGATTCTCTTAGTGATCAATTCTCTGTGTGGAAAACAGTCTGCCTACACAAGTCTGAATCTGAACACAATGCACAGAGCTAAGGCATGCGTGCGACTCCTGGGTCCGCTGCGGTAATTCCTATTTTGGAATGTGCAGCTGTCAGGAGAACATGCCAACGCTGATAAAAGACACTGAATAAATTTGGAGACATACAAGTTTAATGGACTGGTAACGGCTCTAAAGTAGAAGCACTTATCAAGTTCCGTCTGTAATGAAGACAGACTTGACCTGTCTCGTTTAAGAACATTTAAAAACACAGCATATTACATGCATGTGGACAAAAAGCAGAATAAACTTCATTTTAAATTATAATCATAAGTCACCTTTAGTGCAGAATAAATCCACAGTCTACAGGAAAATTAACAACCCTGTACAGTATATTTGTGTGATGAAGATTATAGTATGGACCTAATGCGTGTTTACAAACTCATTTGGAGCTCTTTAATCTATGTATAGCTGTACTAAAAAGAAAATATCTGTAAAAGATCATTCAAAATATTTTTTGACAGTTGAGTTACTTTCAGCGTGGAAGGTATTAACAGGATTGTATATGAAGATTTGTGAGATGACACCAACTGTTTACCAAACCTTCAGTTGACACAGATATATGACAGCAGAAAGCAGCCTATAGCCAAATAGAAAAAGATGACTTAGTGTGTGTGACTTCATCAGGTTTAAAGCTAGATATCTAATGCCAAACACCCTTACGACTTCTTAACTATTTCCTTCAAGCCTCGATGGAAAACCATAGCCGCAAAACTAAAATGAGACATATGACTGAACCACGTCATTTTAAAGTAGTCAAAAAGTTTCACGGAACAGATTCCAGAAATTCCTAAATATGTAGGTGTTTGCTCTTTTGTACTTTATCTCAAATATATTAAAAATCCTCTGGAATGAGGAAATAAGAAACGGTAAATACACTGAGCGAGTGACACATTGTTTTTTATAGCGCTCAAATCTTTGTAATCACACGTCATCACATGCACACAAACTTTACTGAACTTCAACTTTCAAAGTACACATGCTGGATTGACACTGATGTAATGGAGCGTTATGCTGTAGCACATTGTGCAGCACTGATAGCTTGACTGTAAGCTACACTTTTTTCTATAAATATTCCTATGTGGCCAGGCTGTGCTAGCTATGAAAAACCTCTCTGAGACAAAGAAATCTTACATTTCAAGACATTTTGATTATGAATGTCTATAACATCTTCAAAATAACATGTGTAAAGTATATGAAATGACTGAATCAGCTACAGACTTCCAGTAGCTGAAGCTACTGTTTAGTCAGCTCTAAACATTAGCTTGTGGTTCTTTTAAAAACGAAAACAAACTTTTGTCTGTTGAATAGGCTCCTGCGTATCAGGGTTTGTGAGACGAGTTGGCAACAGCTGTTTACAAACCCTCAGGCAACACATGGATGTGTGACAGCAGAAATCAGGCTATAATCAAATGGAACTGCAATAACAATTATTGTAATTTTTTTTTTAGAATTATTGACAGAATCCGGTTTAAGGCCAGATGCTTAATGTCAAGCATCCCTAAGTATACAATGCCTTTAGGAATTTCTAAAACTATCACCTGACCCGGAATAGTGTGGAATGAGACCTACGTTGAATATGCAAATTCCACAACAATTGAAAACGTCCGCGGAAAAGATTCCACAGATTTGTGTAAACATGTAAATGTCAGCCCCCTATCTAAGACTTGATCTTAGAAACTATGTGAAGAAGTAAGGAAGATAATGATGATGCTACGCATTCTCTTTATTCTTCTTGGATGAACCCATTACTCAAGTTTCTGTAAACACACATCGCATTTTTCCTGTGAAGCATAGTTGCTGGTTAGTTCCTATGTAGCCAAGATTAAATAGCTATGAAATGTTGGAGACAGACAGATATGACATCCTGGAAAAAAACAACAACAACAGCTGTTCTGTCACCTGTTATAGAAAAGGTTACAAAAATGTCTTTAAGAGAGCGTTCACAATTTCTACAAAACATTTCAAAAACAAAAGGAAATTGATATGAAAAACTGCAAGTAGCAGACACTTCACACTCTATCATGAACTAACTTGTGGTGTTGCTGTGGTGCTGTCACTGGGTAAAACCTGATGCTGAAACTTAAATCGAGTCAGACATCAAGAGGCATTATGTCCCTCCTTACCTTGCCCAGTAGCACACCCATCTTGTGCCTCCAGCGACCTTTGTTAAGAGAAGCCACTCTGATCCACAGGTTGAGCTGGGAGTTATACATCCACACATCCCTGCTGTTTATACGACCACCTAAAAAAACAACACAATGAATACAGCTCTCATGAATACAGTTCAGACAGCTCTGAGTTCAGCTTTGAGTGCTCTACATTTTAAAACTCTATTTACTATTAGTCTAACAATGTGTTTGATCCTATATAAAAACTTTAAAACGCTTGATGAGCAGCACACTTTGGGTGTTAAGTAATAACTTATCGCTTAACTAGGTCCAAGTCTTATCTGACTCGGACACACACGCACACATACCCATGCAATTATGTTCCAGAGAGGAAATCTGTTTTTTGTTTGTATTTACCTTCAAAGCAAACACGCATGAAAGGATCTTTGTCTGCTAACAATCTGCTACTACTGCAGCATATCCCCTATCTGTCATCTGTGACATTGTGGAGAATAACGCGTCATTTGACCATGTAATGACATGACCCAGCCACATTTCAAGCAAGCCCAAACTTGTGCCTCTTCTTGTCTCCCCGCTGCCAAACATAGACAGCAGGAAAAAAGAAAGAATCTCCCCTAAATATTTAATAAACAACCAAAAAAAAGAAATATATATATATATGCGTCAACAGTAAAATTGGAAGACAAAAAGGTAATGTTATCAATTCTGGAAAAAAAGCAGGTCTAGGAAACAGGTTGTTGGCTTTTATCCAACAACCTGTTATGTATCGCGTGTCAGCAGTGCTCAGAAGGTTGTTTACTTTGTACAGCACACAGATCAGTGGTTGTGTGGAGCAACGATAAAGTGGAACAAAGGTGGAAAGGGGTCTTCTGCAGGTCTGTCTGTAATTAATGTTCAATCATTTAAGAAGAACCCAAAGAAGCTAGTTGCAGCATGTATCAGCTCAATCAGTCTGCAGGAAGAAAAAATCCAGACAGTGTGCTGCTCCTGAAGACCTGCTGTTGAAAGATTTGCAATGATGGAGACTTTATCCCTCCAAAGACAGACATGTACATTTGAAAAGCTAGTCATAAAAGCAGTGTTTCTTTGTAATAGGGTCTTTCCTCTTTAAAAATGCCGGTAGGTAATGTCTTCCCGGTGCAGATGGGGAGGGCCACTGCTAATCACTGTTTTTAAAGCACAAGAATCCATGACTTTGGGAGGTCCCAGACATGATTTATGTAACATTTGCATGTCTTTGAAATATCAATAAGCATTTCTTAGAGTATGTTTTAGAATACCAGTCATGAAAAAGCAACTTGTGACAATGAGATACAATCCATTTATGCCACATGTATGTGGCATGAACATGTGTTGCTGCTCACTAGCTGATAATACAGTAGGAGGCTTATTGGAGTGTTATTGATCTAAGTAGGTCAGTACTGGCCAGAGTTCAAGTCCAAGGACGGAGAAGCCAGGGACACTTTCTATACCCATATCCTATTTAAGACCAGAAATAATTGCAGCTGTGCTACATACCGGAGGCCCTGGAAGGTATTGCGACAGTGCATGTAAAAGGGCAGGCAGAATGGTGGTATGTGCAGGAATGTGACTGAGACAAAAAAAAGTTGAGGAGGGGGGATTTAATGTATCAACACACACAAAAGACAGCAAGTATGTCAATAAAGATCGCAACAGGCTATAAAGCAGTGTTGTGCATGTACTTCTGTGGGACAGACACGGGGGAGGGAGGGCTATGTTGACGTTTTCGTGCTGTTTGGAGGCTGAGTGATAGCACACACGTGAGGACTTGGCACGGGACAGCACTGCACTCTTTGCTAAAGGGGAGAGCTTTCTTTTTTTCTCTCTCTGTGTCTTTCTTTCTATATTTTTCCCCTTTTCTCTAGAAATGTTTTTATCCATTACTGCAGTGCAGCTCATATTAAGCATGTTTGAGCATGAGAAGGCCTAGCAGGCACATCAGAGCTCTTGTTAATACTTTTTCTTAGGAAGAAAAAAAAACACAAAAAAGGAAAACATGTTAGCCTCCAGGCTCTCAAGTAAACTATACAGATATAAGTCTAGCACACAGCATGAATGTAAAGTATTATTTTGACATTGGGAAATACCTTTACTCTGACCTCACCAGTTAAAATAAATGAGAAAAACATCTTATTTAATGTAGGATGTATTTTCACCAAAGGAGACTTGCAACACACTTGGTAGCAGTTTGAAAAATGCAGCAGTCTTGCCAAGCACCCATGAAGGCTATACCTCAGGTTACGATTTACTGTAAAGCTTCTTGCAGAAAAAACTATGGAAACAGACTTTTTCATCCTTATATGAAGAAGATTCAGAGAAACCTGGAGAGTTAGTGTCAATTTGGTGACCCTGGGAAGTGGTCAGTAGGAAGAGAAAGAAGGACAGAAACAGCCAGTGAGGGTGTCTCATAGCACTGAGCCTGCAGAGTGCCTCCAGATGTTGCGCTCATATTTTCCTTCAACTCGAATGGGCTGAGGCCTTAAAAATAATACAGGGCAAACAGTCACCGTGGCCTTTCCTGCCTCTCCGCTGAGAGATTAGATGGCAAGTCAAGCACAAACCGACTGTATCTGATGTGTACCCAGTACTAAAATATTACTTACCTGAATCCTAAATGTCCACTAGCAAAAATAATACATTGAAAAGTAATTAAAAAGAGAAAACAACTCATTCACCAATTAGTTCCTGAGTAGTTTAAGGTCAAGAAAGCAGTAACTTAAACTTGGATAGTTGGTATTTAAAATTTGTCTGTGTTCAGGCTTCAATAAAGCCATGCAAATAAAGTGTAGCATGTGGGCTGGATCTTACCTGACACCAGGATGTCGTTGCGAAGGGCGCAGACGGCGTACTCTGACTTGGTGAACTCGGGCAGTTTTGCCAGTGATTTCCATTCTCCTGTGACTGGATCGTAGCATTCGTTGTAGGGCAGGTTGAAGCCCCCTACCCGCTCACAGCCACCCACCACCACAATCACCTCTGAGTACCCAGTGGACCTTTAAAATAAAGAGCAGAGGGAGGGGGAGAGACAAAGAAATTACAGATTAAGTACAAATTAAAGTGCAGAAATTATAAAAACAAACAAAAAAAGAAGTTTAAATAAAAAGGCCAGCAAGGAGGAATGAACATTGCAGACATGGTGTCTAATTAAAAGGGTATGAATATATATAAACACATGTGTCAACACCTGGAGGGCAGGGACATAAAAGGTTTCAACAGGATTTACCTTCATTTATCTTCAAGGCAAAGTTCAGCTTACAATGAAGGCATCAATCTCGGGCATAACAAAAACACACTCGAGGCTAAGCTTAAGCCGAATTTCCATGATCACAAAGCTTTCCTCTTTGGCTGTTCAACACATGCCCTGGATATGACAACATTTCCTATGGGAGAGCTAATTAACTACAGCCTCTTTTCTTGTTCTACCATTCTAACATTCATATGTCAGATATTGGGCTGTACCGTGTTGAGAAGTAGGCGTATTTGCAGTTTCTCTCATGGCTTGTTTGCATGTTGTCAGAAAAATGCATAGTTCCAGGGCTGGTTCAAGCACTAAGAGAAAGTCTGGCCCCGGAGCACTTTAGCTTTGTGTCTAAGCTGTGTGGATGTGATCAGTTTCTTTCTGGAGGCTTCCCGGGGGAGGAGAAGTCCAGATGCGTCTAACAACTAACAATACACCTGAAATACACAACGCCTTATAACCGACAACTACAATTGCTCCCTCTTTTTTTTAGGCAGGTCTAACAACAAAGGAGGCAGTACAGTCTACCATATGGCCTGCTTTTTTAGTCAGCACCTGCTTTTGTCCTTTATCAGAGACTTTAACATGCAGGTGTACAAAAGTAAACACATACGGCATACGGACTGCTTGGTAAATAGGTACAAAGTTAACAGATGAGGACAAAGAGAACCCAAACACACTGGTGAGGTGAGTTAGACTCGTGAGACGACAACAAGACTCAACATTTCATGATTGCCATGTCTTGCATCACATAATTTTTTCTTTCCTTTACATCAAGTCTGTACAGGAACATGTCCGGCCTCCCTCATTATCATTTCCATTTTAAAATAGGACTACAAAACCCAGCTGACTCAGTGACACACTTGTCTTTTCAACACACTAGCACTCCCTGTGTTTTTCACACTGAAACACACACAACAACAATACAGGCAGGAGCACTGAGTTCACGCGCATGTCGTAAAATCTAGTTATGCAATGTGGGATAAAAGATTGGCTGACTGCTTAAAAAGATGTGTTTTCTATCGCGGTGACATCTTTCATTGTTGTTTGAAATATAATTCAAAAAGGCTGGCAGAAAAGACCGTTCATTTATCACTCATGCAACTGTCACACACGCTGTAGGCTAGCAAGTCACCTTCCTCATACCTGGGAGTCAACATTTTAGTTACCTTCGTGGACGAGTTCTGGGTGACATCATTTCATTTCCGAGCACGTGGTAACGCCTGGCCTCGTGGAGAAGGTGGTAGCACTCTGGGGCAGTTTGGATGAGCTGGTCTCCCTCCACGGTCTGAACAAAGTAGCTGGGGTGCAGAAGGGGCAGGCGGACATGGTGGAGGAGAGCCTTCAGTATGGGCTTCCTGGCCTCCACGCTGTAGTACACCCAGCGCATCACTGCCTCAAACACAAACTCTTCCTTACAGACAGAAAGTTCATCACTGTTAATGTACTCTTCCAACTCTTCTTTACGCAGGTCGAGGAACTCCTCGTGCAGAGCCACCTCTGAGAAGTTGGCCAAGGCGTAACTGTGACAGCGGCTGGCCAGCTGCTTCAGAGAATGCGCCTCTGCAAAGCGCTGGATGCCCAGACAGTTGCACGGGTCCAGCTGATCCTCTAGGAATTTAGCGCAGGCATCACGGAGTGTGGTGATCTGGAAAAGGCTGGCGGTTTCAAAGAGAAACTGGACATTTTCAGTGGTGATTTTGGCACGGCCGGTGTAAACGTAGTTGAGAAATGAGTCCATCGCCTCGGCTAGGATGCCGTTAATTTCAACAAGCATCTCACGGCTCTCGCGGTGATCATTGCAGAACATGGCTCTGAAGTAGGAAGAGCAGGCAGATAGCACAGCGCGGTGGCAGGGAAACTCACGGCCCTGCACACTGATGACCACGTCAGTGAAAAGGCGGCAGTCGCGAAACTCATTGAACACCTGCAGAATGCCCTCTGAGTGTGAGGATCCGGAGCAGAAGTCCAGAACATCCTGGTTGGCTATATTTTTAGATTCAACCTCAAACACCTTGGGGGACAAAAAGACGTGTGGTTTGATAAGATGCCACAAAAGATTTGGGTACAAATGTTAGTTATTTGTGTATCTTTTCTTTGACTGCACCTTGCGTTTGACAGCTGGCGAGTCTCTGATCCCAGAGTCCTCCCTGTTCAACCTCCTGCCCAGCATCAATACCATGGCTGCCACCTTCAATATAGGTCTGTTTTATACTTTAAAAGATATCTGAGGATGGAGAGCAAGTAATGTAAAAATATTATTATTATCATGTTATTCGTTAGGAAATCGCAGCAGGGGATACTCGAAAAAGGGTGGTGAATATATAACAAGTAGCCCAATTAGATTACTACAGTATGAACTGAGATCAGTCCCCAATCAAACAAAGCACTCACAGAGTAAAACCACAAAGCATGTGTTTGGAAGTAGGGGAGATCACGCAAGTCCCTCACAAGCACAGTTCTTAAGCCAGTGGGGCAAAAACAAAGTCTTACGTCACACTTTAAGAAAGGAATTTCCAAGGAAGTCAATGCCAGCTGAACGCAAATCAGTATTGCACCTTGTCTGCAAAGCAGTTGTGCCCTGGAGCGCGGAGTGCATGAAACGGAAGATGGCAAACAAAGAGACAGGCGGGAAAGAGGCTGAGCAACGGTTGGAAGGCCAGTCTACACGTCAGTCAGGTTTGAAGGCGTGGGGGCAGGGATGCTTTTCTTTGAACAAGTGCAAAGTCAAGGATACTAGTTTCTTTTGACAATAACCTCTTTGAGAAGAAAAGACAAAGCAACCAAGTGAGTCCCAGTAATTATGTTTTGTTACACACTGAAAGGTAGACGGCATCTTTAGGTCACGGTATAAATAAAGTTCATAAAGTTCTTGAGAATATCTGATCAAGAAAGGATTTATTATTATTTTTTTTATTTTAAATCTATTGCCGTGCTGTATTTTTAAAAGCCGGGAGCATGCCTGGCTTTTGCTTCGGTGAGGTAATTTATCTCTGGCTATTTTTAACTCGAACAACTCAACCCATTCACGTGCGTTAGCTTGTTCCCCACAGGCAGCTGCGGCAGCACCTCGTCATCCAGATTAAAGGACAGGTTTAGCCAGAGGTATCTGACGCAGATATCCTTTGTGATCAATACATAATAAGATGCATACTACGATGCAGACATTAAAAAACAACAACAACTACACCACAGTTTTTACAATATGCACTCATACACCGTTTGTTAGTACTGAAATTAAGCTAAATTTACACCGAAAAATGGCTGCAACAATACTCCGTTTGTTTTTTGATATTTAAAATAGTAACAGATGCTGAATTATGTGTTTATTTTATGTTAATTTGATATTAATAAGGTTCAACTCGGTAAGAAATACATCTACTTGTAAATTTAGGTGTGTGGTTAAATAGCTAAACAGGTAGAAAATGCTTTATGTGCTTCGATTAGTAAGACAAAAGAAACTTGCCTCGTGCCCATCGTTACCTACTTAATTTTGTTTTTGTTTTTTTTATGTTGGGCTGTTATTTTACTCTATATAGCACGACAGACACAAGCAAAAATAAATCAAGTAATAACAATAGAAATAAGTCTAAAGTCAACAACCACAAATGTTTACTTAGTAAAATGTAGAAATTAATACCTTATGCAGAAAGTTCCAGATGAAGCTTCCTCCTCTCTCTCCAGTGGTTAAACAAATTTGTAGAACAGTAAATCTGTATCCTAAAAAAAGTTTGACTATGTATTTCCGAGTAGTTATGGTCGAATGGTTATAAAAAATAAAGCAGGCTGATATCCAGCCGGGACATGTTGAATCGCGGCGATGACAAAAACAAAGACTTTCTAACTAGCTAACTGTAAACACAGACCCTTATATATTTGTCAGGGAAAAAAAATATCCATCCCTCTGCCGCTGAGCATTATGGGTTGTGTAGTTCGGATTATTGTTTGTTATTGGGCGTTGAAGAAGGAGAAAACTACAATTACCAAATGCTTCGAGTCCTCCACGTGGCCTCCCTTTGTTTGCAAACAAACGCAACTTTTACCGAGGGAAAAAAAAGTTGCTGTCAAGACGTGACGGCGATCGAAAAAAACACGGAAAACAACAGCAGTTTTTAAGCGCTGTTTATATGAACATGTAGAGGGCGCGCTAGTGTGTAGGATGCTAACGTCATTAAATAAATGTTTGCTATGTAAAACACACCTATATGAAAGCGGATTTACAGAGTTATATAATACACAGTGATACCCATAAAGGACATGCAGAAAACCCGTATAAACAACAGCACTTACACGACCCTATGAACACGTGAAAAAATACGAAAAGCAGCATAACAGACTTTTTTTAGGTGAGGAAGGAGGAGTTTGGCCGGAATTAAGAATGTCACAACTTCCTTTTGCCTGCTGCAAAATATTTCCCAGAGCTTCCAGCCGGTTTCCTTGAAGAACCAAGTGTGCTATCATCGGTGCAAATCCATATGAATCATGTGCCTACTATTTACACAAAAAGCGAGCTACTGTTCCCCTGAAGCACATTTTATCCAAATATATGCAAATACTTTACACAGATTCAAATAAAAACACCAAAAAAGATAAGGTTGTATTTTGTAAAGGCATACAGTGATATTGGTATTCTACACTATAGTGTAGTAGTACTATCATCAGTACCTTTCACACTTACAAGTTTCCCTCCCATGGTCAAAAGACTAGAAATAGGTGTTATTCCCCACAAATAAACAGGAGCATCTACAGGATGAAGCACTTGTTGGATGGTGTCGTGTATGTTTTTTAGTAACCTTATTTATATTGATACACACAGTATCCTGCAAATATACATTATTATTATGTTTAGAGTGCAGGGATCCAGGCCATGAGGAAAGAACACATCACCACTAAAGACACTGGATATCTTTAGTGGTGATTTTGGCACAGCTGGTGTAAATGTAGTTGAGGAAGGACGAAGTTATTGTACTGTGTTCTACATTAAAATCAGTCCAGCTCTTTTCTCTAGTACAAATATTTTTAATTGAATTGCTGAATTTGTTGTAATTTCTAACACCCTATTGCTCAGCTTTCTCTTGAGAACGAGATTCTTAAATTCAGTGAGATATTTTATCTGGTTGAATAAAGTATAAATAAAAGCGACTTTGTCCAAATCTGATTGCTTGTTTCTATGTTGTGTCATGCCAATTATGTTTGACAAATTATATGTCAACCAGTTATTTTCAACACTTTAAATAAGGCAACTCCCAAGAAATATCAAGAAACAGCACTACAATAGCTTGAGTAACCCCCCTCAGGGACTTTTTGTGTGAGTTCATCAGAATGAAAAGCAATGTAGTCTTATCAGACCACGTTGAATGGCAATGATTTCTGTGGAAATCAGGTCATTAGAGATTTGTACTTAGCACTTTGTAATCAGTTCCATGTAAATGGGCAAATAAGATTAAGTAGAGTGTTCTTTGGGGTAGAGGTGGTCCAGAGGCTTATGTAGAAAGGCAGTGTGAGGTTGTTTAGAGTGCAGGGATCCAGGCCATGAGGAAAGAACACATCTACTATCCTGTTGTGCTTTACAAGACGAAGGGACGAATGTGTCCCTCTGCTGTTAAGTTGCTGAACTGGTTACGGCCGCCTGCTGCCAGGATGCTCGACTCACCATTATCCATCACCCTTCTCGCCATGTCGGATCATTGTAGATATCCAGCTTTAGACAAACAAGGCTTTAAAAAAACTAATACAGTTTAGTGCTTTATTACTTTAGTCATAAAACCGAGGCCCGGGATCGTGTGTTACATAAATATGAAAGCAGGGAAGTTCAGCATCTTCTGACCGAGATCCACAGAGCAGCAACACAGTTCTCAACCCCTGACACAAACAGAGAAAGTAGAAAGAAATCCAAGTGCTTTATACAAATAAAACATTGGCGATATTGCATTATTAATGTAGCTGGAACACAGAGTCTAAGTTCTAGATTTGGTGAAATCTAACTCCTACAGACTAAACTATAAAATAAAATAAAATGCGGCGTTTCTCTATGACAGTTTGATTCTTGGCATTTTTACAGATCGTGTAGATAAAACTCTGACTCTTTAGAAGTCGTTCAAAAACACAGCAGTTCTTTACGCAGCTGCGGCCTGGCTGAGTCTCCTGTGCTGGTGCAGCAGCAGCAGCATTACTGTGTCTGAGATCTCTCTGTACCTGATCCCATACAGGTAAGGAGCAAATACCCTGGGCAGCAACATAAAAACACACATATTGACTGTGGAGACCCACACGCGAACATCCTGAGGTATGTCTTTCCTGTCTATTAGAACGAGCTCCATGGTAAAAAGGAAGCCGGGGGCAAAGTAGAGCAGGAGCAGAACCCCGTGGGCCAGCAGGGTGACCCTGGCCCTGGAGAAGCGGCTATGCCAGATTCCTTGTGTCCTCGTTACCATGTAGAGGCGAATGTAGCAGTAAGAAATGAGCAGTGAACACATGAGTGCAGCTACGAAGAAGTAGATGTAGATCCCAGTCATGTTCCTGGCCTGAATGAATCCAAGGGAGATGAGGACCAGACACACGGGTAGCTTTTCATGGAAGTTCCCACTCGCTACCTGCGTCTTGATCATCACTGTGAAAGGGTATATGGCTGCTAACACCCACACCCCCACCAGTATGCAGTAGGTGCGGGAAGGTGGAATAACGTCACGGTAACGGAGAGGCCAGCGAACAGCAGCATAGGTGTCGACCACCATGAGCGTGACCGTGTAAATGGCACAGCAGTAGCTGGTGACGGTGAGAGCGGTGACCAGCTCACAACCCAACCATTGCATTGGCGCTCTCAAGGCGTTACAAATCAATGTGGCCAAGTTGAGGAGGACCAAAAACAGGTCGGCCACCAGGATGTTGGCCAGTAGCAGGTAACGCGTCTCCTGGCGCAGGGCACGGGATAGGAAAATGCTTACCAGGAGAACAGGGCTGGCCAGCAAGGTGGGAAGAGTGATGACTATTGTGGGGATCAAAAACAAATCCAGGTGCCATTTCTCCAGGACCTCCACCCACTCCTGCGTGATGTTTGAAATTGGTATCGGTGATGTCATTGTACCTGTGAGTCACGGAGGAAGTGCAGATGGCGACACAAGGGTGTTTTATGATCACAGTCCCTACTTTCTCCAGCCAAGTCCTGTGAAAGAAAAACACCATAAATCAATGTCCACAGTGCACTACATTTAATACAGGTGGGATACACCTCCACTCTAATCCACCCAGCGAATTTTAACTGGATGAGCAGGTAAGAAACTGTATAAATCAACTGTAACTACATGCAAATATGGCTCGAGTCTATATTTATGCATTTGCGTAAAAGCTGCAAAGAGCAAATGTGGTCTCTACATGAATGATATCTCTGTGTGTGTTTGATACAATGATAACCTTGTTAGGCTGCAGACTGGAAAAACAAAAACAAACAAACAAAAAAACCCAGTAATGTCTAACACTTTAATGCTCCGGCTTTTTAAACATGCCATTTTTATTTTACAGTCCAGTCAAATTGTTTTAGTCTGCTTAACAATTAAAATGAGCGACCAGAAGCTTGTTGGCAGAATTCGAATATGAACGAATATTCAACAATGGACCCTGAACATCAACTTCTCTTCATGTACAATCTCACAAATCAGGTGCAACATCATGATTTCACTCATCAAAAAATAAATAAAAATAACTAAGCTGAACACCACAACCGTGATAACCAGGTCCCCAACCAAAATTTGTATACACTGAACAAAAAGAGCAACACAAAACCCAGAAATGACTACATAAACATATTTATTGACAAATTATCGATTGAACAAAGGTGAGTGATCTTACCTGAGGCTCAAAAATGGAAAAAACTGCCTGTGGCGTGCATCCGTTAATGCTCAAATAAATAAAACGGTGCTCTGCAGCACTCATCTCACTGGACGGCTCTTTCTGAATGTACCATTTGTTGACTCAGAGAGATAGTATAGGGGCTGCAGAGAGCTACAAACACTCAGCTGTCACGTAGTAACGAGGTGGAGCTCCCCACACCGTAGCTTTTATAGAGTTTTCTGCCCAGTAAATCGGATTGGTTTTCAAGAATTTATTTGACTTTATTCGAAAACTTACTTAAAGGGATTGGCAGTCATCAGTTTTCAATGCGACTCACAAGTCAAGCTTCTGAAAATAATTTAATTTATGCCATCAATGAAGGAAAGTCAAAAATATTAGTGACACTTTTACAAATAAATTATGTGGGAGACATTTTTCCTCACCCAAAGTTAGAACTGACCAAGTCTCACACCAACATCCTCACGTCTTACATCCTGATGAAACCACTAACATAAACCCCAGCAAAAGGCTCTTCCTGTGTTCCCATGGGTGGTTTAGATAATAATCTAGGAAACTTCCCTAAAAAGCAAAAAGCAAAGACTGGTTCAACAAGCAGTCACTTCTTTCTCCTTTTCCCATATCCACTTTTTGCTTCTCTATCGTCATCATCTTCCTCATCATCATCATCCTCATCGTCACTATCAGGTTCGGTCCTGCCCTGCTGCAGCTCCTCTTCCTGCCACTCCCTGGCTGCCAATCTTTTAAACACGTCGTACTCCTCCGCTGACGCCTGGGCGACGTGCGCGAGGAAGGTGTCCTGGTCAACATTAAGGACGCTGTCCAGATTGGGGTTGATGATTGTCGTCTGTCCTTTCTTGTCCGGGGTTTCATAGAGGCCCCGTCGCTCCAAGAAAGTGTGTCGACAGCGGATCTCATCCAGACTGTAACGAAACAGTCGGCACTTCACCATCTCCGCCTGTTTGACACCCATTCTGAAGTAGACGTACTGTGGAGAGAGGAGGTAAAATGTGCCGGTCAAAACAGTTAGTACACAGTTTGACAACAGCTTTAAGTGGACAACATATAAAAGTGTGGACACAGGAGATACTCCTATCTCAAAACTCTGTGCTGATCTTAAGGACGGTGTGCTTTCATGTGGAAAAGTGCAATGCGGATGCACACTGTCCCAGTCTGCACTGTACAAAGAGAACTGCAGAAGTGCTCACAGGATTATAAAATGCAGATCTGAAAAAAATTATATACACAAATAACATTCAGTCTATTATTACTGGAATAGATCTACTGAGTATCTGCCCACTGTGCTTATAGTCTTTGATAACTTATTCAAAACATCTAGGAATTCACATTTGCATCTTTTATGTAATAATATGGTAACCGTTGTTTGTTACACATTTGAATACACAGAACCCAAGTATAAGGTCTGTTTGGACAGGTCTGTTTGACAATCCAAACCAAAACCTAACAAAAAGCAGCAAACACAATTCACTTGCTCAC